ATATATATATATATATATATAACTATATCAGAGGTTAATAAAAACAAATGTTTGTCATTATTAACTCCTTATATATATATATCTTTATATATTTTTCTATTGCTATATATACATATATATATATAGAAGGAGAGAGAGAGAGAAATTCATAGAGCGCATTATTACATGGAGGTAATGGGCCCATAACGAAACTGAGTTTCGCTGTTCCACGTGTTTACTAATGTCAGTGCTCGCCTTATTACAAATACAACAACAAACCACATACTTACTTATTTCGGTTCGGCGATTTTCACTTCTATGTTCTCGCTAGTGCAGCCCGTAGTCACTGTGAGCGCTCGATGCGGATTGCTCTCACTCGACTCGTCAGAACTCAAAAATGCTGCCTATAGCTTCTATGGTAACGGTGTAAAATATCAAAACGATGCGCGATTCCTACGCTCGGTCCACGCTGTCCCTTACACCCGCCGGCGAAAATTCCTCAATTGCTTTTGCCGCTCCACTATCGCCGATGCCCACTTTTAAAGAGCTAGTCAAATATAATGTTATGCGCAATTCCAAATATAAGCGCCGCCTCTGCTAGATTCGACTACGCAGATGCGCGGCGGAAAATGTCAGGTGTAATCCATTCGAGATTTGGTCTGGGTGCAAACCGATTCGCTCCTCGTTCGACGCGGTGTGCCGGCTTTGCTTTTTTTAACTTCATGACGCACGCAGGCGAAAAGAATTTCATAAACTAAGTTACGATATGTAAAGGTCGCTTCCAGCCAAATTCCTTCGTTGTGAAATATGCCAATAGAAAGTTTCGGCAAAACGCCCGTCGCACACTGAGATATCCGGCCACCCCTCGCGCGAAATGAACCGGTTCAGCAGTTAGGCTGCGTGGTACGTCACGCAAGTATCAAATCGATGACGTTGGGGCGGCTAATGAGCTGTGTGACAGCACATGTGGACTACACTAGAGGTGCGATAACCTAGGCAACTCACGATGGCTACACAGGAAAGGCAGGAAGCAACGACATACCCAAAGACACGCAGAATATTAAGCGGTATCGAAAGACCTCTAACGTCGATGTTGGTATGCGGTCGAGAAAATGTCACCTGCAATGTACAATCGTATCTTATTACGCAGTAAATCCCTTAAACACCGAGCGCTCGATATATATAATAGAGTGTTTACATTATTTATTTTGTCAATGCCTATATTTTCGCATTATATGGTCACGAAAATTATTTATTACATTTTTTAAATACATTTATTATCCACAACCTTTAAAATAGCGCGTTTGTGTTTTAACACACAATCTGAAGAATTCCAAGATCACTATAGTCTAGATTACAAAGATTACCAAAATCAAGATACTAGTAACAGATAAATAAATGGAAATAAATGTTGTCGGTGCGTACAACCATTTATGATTGCAGGCCTATACCTTAATATAATCGGCCATTGTTTACAGCAACGGCGTATATATTTTGAGTCTACAAGATCCCATTTACGATATGTGATATTGTTTTCTCGCTCGTTGAGATCTGAACAGTTTCCTAAAATGGCAGGCCTATTGATCTGCTAACATACCTACACCATTGCGGCGAGAGAGTTTTGGTCGTTCATAAACACTGCCAATTATCAAATAAACGCTAAGATTACGTCTAAATATTCTATCCATCAGCATTGCCATGTTCTAACGCAGACCTAGTATCAATCAAATTCATTGGCGATATGGCATCTAGTCCTTATAATAACTGAGTAAATAACCCGCGTTATTTCCGTCTTATACTCATCCTAACGCACTTACCACATTTACCTACACCATACACTCCCATACACACAACCAGAGCGCAGTCATATACACGTACAGACATGTAGTCACGCACAAAGACGTACATACTCGTATGCACGTACACACACACACACACACACACACACACACACACACACACACACACACACACACACACACACACACACACACACACACACACACACACACACACACACTATTTCGCTCTCGCTCTTTTCGTCCTCTCTTTTACACACACACACAGACACTCACTCACACACGCACGCACGCACGCACGCACGCACGCACACACACAGGCCATAGTGGCGCTAGTATCCCGATTCGCGCATAGATCCTTACTTAGCACGGGACTCCTTAGAAACATCTTGAAAAATCTTCAGCATGTTTTTTATTCGTATATCTTTTGATAGCCGGCGTCTGGATCAGTGTTTTTTGCAAATCCTTTCCACTCAATAAACACGTATTAAACACGTCCAGGTGTGGCCATGTACAAATGATGTTCACTCGAGAGCCTTGAATTTCTGTATCACTGGTTTTTTTTCAGTCGCATTTCGAATAGAGGATTAATGGACGCTAGACATTTTGTTTGAGACTTTTTTCTTCGTTAAATTTAGAAGGCGCGCTGCTTCACATTTTCACGGGAGGGGCTGAAGAACAGGCGTAATTCTAAACGTTAAAATACAGATTTCCGTCTTCTCTATCACGTGGCACTCATGGCCACGCTATGCCCGAGCCAGACCCGCCTTCGTCAATTACTTTCGACTCCATTCTCATTTTCTACCTCTCAAATTTCTCTACTATTATTCTCTACCTTTCTTCTTACTTATTCACCCACTCGCTCACCCATTCACTCATGCACTCACCTCACTCACTCACTCACTTCACTCACGTCACTCACTCATCACTCACTCACTCACTCACTCACTCATCAGTCACTCACTCACTCACTCACTCACTCACTCACTCACTCGCTCGCTCGCTAAGCGTCACTCACTCACTCACTCACTCACTCACTCACTCACTCACTCACGCACTCACTCACTCACTCACTCACTCACTCACTTCACTCACTCACTCACTCACGTCACTCACTCAACTCACTCACTGCCGCTCACTCACTCACTCACTCACTCACTCACTCATCACTCACTCACTCACTCACTCACTCACTCACTCACTCACTCACTCACTCACTCACTCACTCACTCACTCACTCACTCACTCACTCACTCACTCACTCACTCACTCTCTCTCTCTCTCTCTCTCTCACGCGCGCACTCGCACACTCACTCATTTGCCTGCTCGCTTTCGCTTAATCTCGCTAGAGGGCTTATCTAATCTTAATATTTAAATAACAATTTATGAATGTTTAACGGTGCTGCTGATTTAACGTGATAACGGATATAATGGCAACACGCTGGAAAAATATGCATCAAATACGTTTATGCGCTTTTACATTCGCGATTGATTAAATAACGCCGGTCACGTGTTCCTGGGGAAGGCCTATATATAGTGGACCTTGCATAATTATATAGGAAGCCTTGCATTTCTGACTTTTAGATAAATGGACAAGAGAATAGCTTTTAAACCTACGTACAATTACCTTATAGATATATTGATATTCTTCTTCTTGAATATATTCAGGTATTTTTCGTAATACATCTGCACGCATTTCTCAGGCAGTGCATATGAATTATGCATCTGGTTTGCAACCAGTATTGGAATTTTCAGAGTACAGTGCTTATCGCAATATTTTACAGTGCACAGAGTTACATCGTCAAAAATAGGCGACAATGAAAAGAAGTTTTATATTGTGATGAGATGACATTTTTGGTTACGTTGAAAGGCGCTATTAAACTCATTATCCCTCAATCGTTTTAAAGGTTTTAATAACTTACCGATAGGCATTGGTGTAAGTCTGTCTACAGTACCTTTACGACACTTCAAAATAATCGTTCGATGCTATTAGGGGCCAAAATTGCAACGATTACACATTTTGTCATATTTTAACTTCGCCACTTTGGTCTCTAAAGACACGATGTTTCTAGTGATAGCGACCGATGAGCGAGAGAATTTGTGCAAGCATTCTTAACGCAACCTGTTTTCTAGAACATTCTCGTCACCGGAACCAATATTTTTACGGAAAATGTCCTAATATGGGTATAATCTATAGCATATTAGGAAGTGGGCGAGGGACATGACTGGGTAGATGCGAATCTGAACAGAAAGGTCCAGGGGAAGTATTGTCACATACGTATAGTGGTGAGAGTAGAAGAAATATGCGTGCATCGCAGTGCCGTGAAAGCGAAGGTGAGCAAGGATGGGAAGAAATCTTATGCGAGACCAAAACTGCAGTGCCTAATCAACCAGCAAATTTATTAAGCTATTTATCAAGCCCCATTAAATTTAAAATAAGTAATGTTTATTTAACTTTCAATTAGATGGATTGTGTAGAGTTCCATGTCCGCAGTGTTCGAAACTGAACAGTCACATTGGCCGAGTAAATTTCACGGCCGCTCAACTAATACAAATATATATATATATATATATATATATATATATATAGAGAGAGAGAGAGAGAGAGAGAGAGAG